TTCTCACGTCCTCTATAGTCCTCCTGATTTGGTTTTGCGTGGTGTGATCCGGTGAAGTCCATGTGGTTTTGTGAATGCGCTTATGTGGGAATATGGTGCCACCTATGACCAGTTTATTGAAGGCACATAGGTTTGCAAATCTCTCACCACTTTTGTTTCTTTCTCCCAGTCCATGTCGTCCCATGATGTCTCCATATCCAATGTTGTCCGTTCCAACCTTGGCGTTGAAATCTCCCATCAGAATGGTCAGGTCCTTTGTTTGGCACTTCTCGACGATTGACTGCAGCCTATTGTAGAATTGATCTTTAGCATCTTCATTGTAATCGTTGGTAGGCGCATAGCATTGGTTAATATTCATTGTAATGCCCTCCTTTTTTGTTTTGAACGAGGCTTTGATGATCCTTGGTCCATGAGATTCCCATACTATAAGCGCATCTTACGTTTGTTTGGACAGCATCAATGCAACTCCTTGTGTATGTGGGGCATTTTCTTCTTCATGGCCGGAGTATAACAGAAGCTCTCCTGAAGTTAGTCGTTGTTGTCCAACTTGCGTCCAATGTGTTTCACTGATCCCAAGTACCTCTAGGTTGTATCTTCTCATTTCTGCAGCAAGTTGGAAGGCTCTCCCGGTGTCCCACATTGTACGAACATTCCATGTACCTAAATAAATGGTCGCTCTGGTTGTCAGAAGGGCGTTGGCCTCGTAACTTCCGAAGGAATTCGGCTTTCATCATGAGGCGTCATAGTTCTTCTAAATGAAGACCTTCTGAATCCCAGGGCAGAGGTTAAAAGGTTTGAATAATCTTTCCTGGTTAGCGTTTTTTTAGCGAGTTAGTTTTCTACGGGATGGGGACGCTAACCCAATGCTCAACCCTCCTCCTTTATCCGGGCTTGGGACCGGCAGTAGCCCCCGGAGGGACTCCAGGCGGAGTTACTAAAAGATACATTTATAATATATTATTCAGTATCTGTTTATCATGTTCATGTAACTATAAGTGTTTTCTTTTGTATTGTTTTCTGTCTGTATTGACAACATCCCACGAACTGGATCATGGACGCGCACTGCTGAGGAGTTCCACAATAGAACGAAACAGCCGTCCAGTGCTTCCAGGTTTTCAATGGTGGTCTAACATCAATCGGATTGTGATCTCAATCAAAAACAAAAAAAACTTCAATATCAGCTTATCGATCACGATCATAAAATTTAATAACATTATAAAATTCATTTTATCTCATTCTATCAATATTCAATAAAATAGAATGGACTTTTTGTTTATTCATTTGATCAGAAAAATAATCAATAATTTTTTATCATTTTTTTTTCAGGAACTTGGTTACATTTTTTTTTCTCAACTTAGAAAAGAATAGTGAACTGAACTCATCAGTTTATGAAAGTAGATGATGGTGATCGATGGGTGGTAGGGTTAGAGTTTTAAATTAGGATATATGAATAAAATATGTTTTTGTGTTCATCTGAATAAGCATTTGTATTTATGTGAAACAGTGTACATAAATAAATGATTAAAAGGAAATTGGGATGTATGTAAAGTGATCAACAACAACAACAACAACAACAACAAAATGTAGTTACTTACCTTTTTCATTCTGATTTATTAAGCAGTTGATTTTGATTAATGATTTAGATTAAAATTAAACTGAAAATAGGGGGGAGAGAAAAAAACAGCTTCTTTCATATGACTATTAACTTTATGAATTAATTAAATTGCGTTCTGTTTTTATTTTTTTGCTTTTTTCTTTTATTTAATCTCTACTGCATTCTTTGAATAGTAAAACTAGATTTTATAAAATTTCTTTATTTTTTTTTTAACAAAAGAATGTCTACTTGTTGAACGGATTGGAATATATTGATCTAGTGAAATATATTCTGTACGTCATCTATTCGTACAAGTCAATAGTCTACAATCAAAGTATACAAAACATGGCACAGTCTACATTATATACATCACAAACTTTTGACTTTAAATCTATGTGAAATCTAGATATGATGTGTGAAATTTTATGATAAAAATGTGTTACCTTATATTAAAACAATAGATAGACCCTTAGCAACATAAAAACTAATGTCAATAATATAGTTTATAAGTTTTCGTGATGAGACTATAATTAATGGACGACTTTTGAGTGACCTTGAAGTAATCTTGAGAGTGTTCACCTAATAACTAGGACCAAATCAGGATTATAAACCAGTGTGAAACATTAAAATTGTGATTTACGGTTGATGGCTAAGGTTAGGAATTAGATTTAGGATTTTCATCACGAATTTACATCGTCTATAATGCCAAAACCCTATTATTTATGAGATGCCACTTATGTAGTGATATTCGTTCGGATGTTAATGATAATGAAGTGGTCAAGATCAGTCTTTACATAAAAAGAGATATTTTTGACAATACAGGTTGTTCAGAATTCCGTCGAAACTTTGGTATGATGATATGAAGTACATACATAAGGCTTCAGTAAGTGTGATTCTGCTCTACTCATGTGAAACATACCTCGGTCATGATGAAACCAGTCGAATACGGTATATCACAAAACATCACAGTATTCATAGGATCGCATACTCTCTATTATTTTGTAGTCCAGAATAATGTGTAGTGTATAAAAGATACCGTCTTTAGATGGTGGTTGGAAGTAGTCAGCAGGAAACCCTGGACCCGGGTTTCGTGCTATTTGGCACTCGTCAGCAAGGTGTACCTGTAATCTTGAGGGAACTGGTGCTCCCTGGCGGATTCGATCTCGTGTCACCCAGTTTCACAGTCAGAGACGTTACCACTGAGCTATCCGAGCCGTGAGTGACCTCCTGTAGGACTGAGATCTAATCACAATTGATTGATCACTGGGTGGTGATCAATGTCATGCTTGTCTAGTCCTTATTAGTGCAGATCGAATGCTATAGATCCAGGGTTTCCTGTTGACTACCTCCAACCACCATCTAAAATCTCAATACATAGTGCCCGCAGTGTCGAGCCACCTAGACTGGTGGCCACATTGCAACATGTAAGGCTACACCTACCAGCATGGTTCAATCTAATTGTCACTGAAGTCATGGAGAAATGAAAAGCTTTGGTTCAGCCACCTCTATATTTCTCCCTTCTTACTCATACACCGGCAGATATGTTACGTCGAAGTAAACAAAGGGTAGGCATACGTAACACATGTTCCAACAACCTCAGTTGATGGTGACTCAATTTACCATCTTTACCTAATACCGTACATCTAACCTCAGGATTGCTTACTTGGTGGTTTCAACATCAGCAAACAGAAATTTGAAAGGATTTATTGTTAATTATTAGTAAACTACAAATATCCTCAAATTTCAACTCCATATCTCACAACCATAAAGTGGAACAGAATGAACAGCCAGTAATTACAGCAAACAAGGCAACGAATTTCAAAATAAAAATAAAATTAACTAACTGGTATCATAAATACTAAAAGACAGGGTAATATTCACTTGTTATTGTTGGGCTTGTATCTTCCCATTGAGTTTTAAGACTGCAATTGATCATTCCGTTATTGGCATATGTGCATACTGTGCGTATGCCTCGATCTTGCCTCAGTTCGCAAGTTTTTTTGTAAGCAATGATGGATAGTGGCTAGCAGTTGAATCCAGAACGCGTGTTTCATCCTATGCGGGACTCGTCAATTGGATGTACCTGCATCTCACAGTTGATGTTCACTCTGGGACTCGAATCCAGTACCGTTCGCTTCAAACGCCATGGCGTGATCCATCCAGTTACTGTCTCCTGATAGCCTCCTGCTTGTGCCAAACTATACCAAGTGAATTCAAATTCACCCGATTGCACAAGCAAGTGGCTATCAAGACTCAGTAGTTGAGTGGATGACGCGATGGCGTTTGACGCGAATGGTACTGAGTTCGAGTCCCAGAGTGAATATCAACTCTGAGATCTAGGTACATCCAATTGACGAGTCTCAAATAGGACAAAACACGCGTCCTGGATTCCACTGCTGGAGTAATATTCATTTGATACTATTGTTGGTCATATTAGGTTTTGGAGATTGTTGAGTTGCATTAAAATGACAAACCAATCTTAGATTCTTACTAAAAACCCAGAACCACTGGACGTCCATTTCATCTACAGGAGTTTCATACTCTGAATAAACAGCATCCAGTTTTATCTAGGTATTCAATAATAGTCTAACTTAGATCGATCCATGATTTCAGTGGTATTATTATTATTATTATTTAATGTTAACCACCAAATAACTACTTGTAATATATATAATGTTTTGAGAATAACATCTCCGATACTTAATTTAAGCCTCCAAATACCTTGGTACGACCGAAGGTGAAGAGATTCCACAATCCCTCTTAAAAATGCTCTCAGATAGCCTTGCATATACCCATTAAATAACTATTTGTACTAAATATATATAATTTTTTTGAGGATACTATCTCCGGTACTTAATCATATCTACATAGTGTTATCAGTAAATTCTAGAATTCATTTAACTTGTAACTGAATATTTATTGAATTAACAACCATACATTATATTGATTAGATTAGTATATCATATTGAAATGATGATAATATCAAAATCAATAATTAAGACAAAACTATTAAAGTAACTATTTGTATGAAGAGAGAAAAAAAATGATTTTCTGACAAGATCTTGGTTGACATTATGAAAGTTACAAGAAAAAAATGGGAAAAATAAAATGGAAAAAAAAGATAATTTGGGAAACATAGTAGTTTAATGATATAAAATAGATAACGAAATTTAGGTAGATTCATTATTATCATCTAAAATGATAATTAAAATTAAACATTCATTCAGAAAAAAAAACATAATTTTTATAAATTTTTAATTGTGGAACAATGTAAAGTATAAACTTATTATGAGTAGAGAATGTAGAAGTTAGCCCTATATCAAACTCAAATAGGTTATGAGATGGTGGAGAAGATTTGTAGCTCAGATAGATGATTTTGTTGGAGTTTTGGGCGAGACTCTAATTTATGGATGATGATGATGATGATGATGATGATGATGATGATGATGATGATGATGATGATGATGATGATGATGATGATGATGATGATGATGATGATGATGATGATGATGATGATGATGATGATGATGATGATGATGATGATGATGATGATGATGATGATGATGATGATGATGATGATGATGATGATGATGATGATGATGATGATGATGATGATGATGATGATGATGATGATGATGATGATGATGATGATGATGATGATGATGATGATGATGATGATGATGATGATGATGATGATGATGATGATGATGATGATGATGATGATGATGATGATGATGATGATGATGATGATGATGATGATGATGATGATGATGATGATGATGATGATGATGATGATGATGATGATGATGATGATGATGATGATGATGATGATGATGATGATGATGATGATGATGATGATGATGATGATGATGATGATGATGATGATGATGATGATGATGATGATGATGATGATGATGATGATGATGATGATGATGATGATGATGATGATGATGATGATGATGATGATGATGATGATGATGATGATGATGATGATGATGATGATGATGATGATGATGATGATGATGATGATGATGATGATGATGATGATGATGATGATGATGATGATGATGATGATGATGATGATGATGATGATGATGATGATGATGATGATGATGATGATGATGATGATGATGATGATGATGATGATGATGATGATGATGATGATGATGATGATGATGATGATGATGATGATGATGCTGATGATGATGATGATGATGATGATGATGATGATGATGATGATGATGATGATGATGATGATGATGATGATGATGATGATGATGATGATGATGATGATGATGATGATGATGATGATGATGATGATGATGATGATGATGATGATGATGATGATGATGATGATGATGTTGATGATCAGCCAATCAGAAGCGTTTGAGAGATTTCAAGGTGACGGCGCCAACTTCAGTACTTAATGTTAACGTAAGATTGGTTCACAGGGAATTTTGTACAAAACATGATAATTGAGAGGCAATAACAAATAAAACAGTGGGACTACAATTTGTGGATGAATCAATCAGGTGTAAGATAACAGACCTTGAATTTTGGAGAGAAAACCTTTCATCCATTTGGCTAAATAGATTTCTGGCATTATAGCTGATGTCATTTCGTGATGAAAACCCCATATATAACTCCTGACTAAGACAAATTACGACAATTATTGCAAACTGGATAATAAAAGCACCAGTAACACTGGCTGCAACCAGGCACCACAAAATATATGGATGATTGGATAGCGTACAGACTCCTATATAGGCTTCGTTATGTGCATCGTGTTGTTATCCACAAGTGGCATTTTGAGTACTCAACAACCGGAGTACACACAAACAGTATTGAAGCTATGTGGCCGAGGCTGATAGAGTATTTGCGACCTTATCATGGCTCCAGATGCCAACTATTCTGTAGCCATATGAATGATTCCCTCTACTGCATGCATTATGATTTTAGAACCTCTGAACCTCTTTCTAACCGTGACAAGTGTTTGAACCAAGTATAAGACATGTATCCATTTTATTTCCCTGGTTTTGTATAATATATTTTTACTCTTTGCTGACTGTTTGCTGATTGGCTAATATTTCTCAAGATCACTTAAGATTCGTTAAAATGTCGTCCATAAATCATAGCATCGCCACCTCAGTTTTGAAGTTTGTGCTGATGATGTCGTTCAGAAGAACGATGAAACTTCACCAAACCATCCAGCTCAGAGAACAAAACTTCACCAAAACCAAACAGGTTATTCTAGCCTCTGGAAAGACCAATCTATCTATTCTTTTCAATCCACATTTTGGTCTTCTTAATTATTCACTTGTAATGACCTACTTTTATCAAGAGAACGCGATTGGTTTAATGGAAACAATTATTATTATAACCATTTATACCAGGGATTGTTTTACCGTACTTGTTTGCTTAATTGTACCAGAATACATACATTCTTTCGTGGATTGTGACCGTGCACGAATTCGGTTATGCTCAGTAACCACACTCGTAACCTGGCACGGTTTCGGTTTTCTTTCGATACGACGAGATCGCTAAAAATTACATCACGACTGCAGCCATCAACTGCCTTCTGATATTTAACCTACGGGGGATCTTATCGGTTAACTGGCACATAGTCTTCCTGTAGTGGTGATCATAGTCGTCCGCGACTCGATGACACACTACACACTTATCAACCTTGACTGTTTTTACATGATGGTATGAGTGTGTATTTCTCATCTTACTCATTTCATGTTAGTAACTTATTTTTTTTTACTATAAATATCGATTTACGCTTGACTAAACTGAGTTGGTTCACTCACTTACTCTATTGTGCGTCATTTTGTTTTGCTTCGCTTTCCGATCAACAATTGTACGAAATATGTGTATTCAAGCCTCATTTTCGTATTTGACTTATTTAATTCCGTTATTCACCAACGTGACTTAAGTTGATAATCATATGTGAAGAATGAGGACATATATATAATTCAATAACGATCATTCGTCCGATCTAACTGGAGTCAGATATAGGACCGCTAAAAGAACATCTTTAAAATCATATTATTTTTTAAATTTTACATGATCAGTTGCCGTTGTTAACAATGATTAACGAGAAATCACAGACGTTTAGATGAATGATGCCATAATTAATTAAAGAGGTTAGCAGTTAGTTAAACAATTTCGCTCAGTGGTCTAGAGGTTAAACGTTCACGTGCGAGACCAAAGGTCCTGAGTTGGAATCCCGCGAGCTAGATCGTAGATGCACACTAATGAGGAGTTCCACAATAGGACGAAGCGGCCATCCAGTGCTTCCAGGTTTTCAATGGTGGTCTAAAATTAGTCAATTCATGATCTCAATCAAAAACTTAATAATATCCACAACCCAATACTGATAACGAGTTGATATTTAAAATGTAATGATATACATTGATATAACAGACATTTAATTTTTGATTACACATGATATAAATGAATTCACGAAGAACGTGGTTCTTCATTCCCTTGATTTGAATATAAAAAAGGTGGATTAATGCTTTTTAGAAAGAATATATAAATTAAAATTACTTCCCAGCTTAGTTAGATGTTGATCTTATGTGTAACAAACACCACCTACAATTCATTTGTATACATTTGATTTTTATCATTGTTTATATTTACAAATGAATTAACCAGTCTCTTAATAGCATTCATGCATCTTAAATGGAATACATCAACATTCTCATTATGTCATCTGTATTTAAATAAATATAGATATTAGTTAATGATGTAATCCAAAAAATCCTTTTCATCCTAGTTGATATTCATCAACCAAATGTAGCACATTCTATCTTTGCTTAAAACTCATAAAATATTTCATTACATTTTGCCTAAGGCTTTGGAAAAAGAAATAATCATGTTAACTTAGAAAAAAACAATCAGCTTTGTATATCATACATGAAATACTCGGAAGCACTGAACGGCCGTTTCATCCTAGTATGGGACTCCTCAACAATGCGCATCCACGATTCCGCACGACGCGGAGCTCGAACCCAAGACCTACTGGCTTCGCGCGCGAGCACTTAACCACTAGACCACTGAGCCGGCATCCAACGGTGTTAATGTCTAACTTCAACCAATCCACGAAGTTGCGCCACCGTACACCATTGTCTTCAGTGAGTTCCTATCTCACAACAAACCTGGGTCCTGGGTTCGAGCCCCGGGTGGTGCGGGATCGTGGATGCGCACTGCTGAGAAGTCCCATACTAGGATGAAACGGCCGTCCAGTGTTTCCAAGTTTTCAATGGTGATCTAGCTTCAACTGACTCATGATTTCAATCTGTGAAATTTCTAAAATCTCCACAAAACCCATTCTGACATGAAATACTGTTTACCAAGAGAAAACACAAAAATAGGTATCGCCACCAAGATTGGATCTGATAGTTTTAAATAAATTGAATATTGGTTAAAGAGCTAATAATGAATATATTTTTGTTGTTATATCCCAATGAGTTGAGAAATCGTATTTCTGATGTTTCGTGACTTAATATAAGTCACTTTTCAGAGTAAATAAATAACCAAAATTAAATCAACACGAGTTTAAATAGTAATTCAGAAAATCTATTAATAAAATGAATAACTTTACTGTAAAGAGCAGAAGTGTTCTACTAAGTGTTTCTAAGGAAACATATTGGCGAGACTATAATATATAGACGAACCAATCACGTATAAGATAACAGGTCTTGGGTTTTGGTGCGAAATTCATTCATCCAATCGGTTTAATAGAGTTTTGGCATTATAGACGATGGGAATTCGTGATGAAAACCCTAAATCTAATTCTTAACCCTAGCCAACAACCGTAAATCACAATTTCAATGTTTCACACTGGTTTATCACCCTGATTTGGTGCTAGTTATTAGGTGGACACTCTCAAGGTTACTTCAAGGTCACTCAAAAGTCGTCCATAAATTATAGTCTCACTAAACGTTTTTATGGAACATCTTTCACATATAACAGTTCCAGTGAAATGAACAAAAATAACAATTCTAAACTATGTGAATAGTTTGAACAGAAATTGTAAATTTAAAAAATCTATTAACCTTTCTCGTTAGTTCGAAACAATTCGTGATCTAAAACATTTCAGTCTATTACAAGTGATCACAATCTTGATATTAGCAAATATGACTGAATCTTTTTATGGTATATTTTCTATAGTTTTAAACTAAACACTTTTCTTCCCTTCACCCAAAATATTATTTCATAGCTGTTATAAAAGTATTTTTGAAAAAAGAGATTATTATTGTTTACAAGAGTAATCGTTCACTTTGAGATTCGTTATTTAGATGTAGGTAAATCCATGTATTTTTACTAATATAGGCATTTGAGCTTAGTACGGCTCATTTCAAATAGAAAGCATTTTGCACTCTGAATTACACTGTTAGCAGCATACCAAATTTACTGAAATGTGTAGTATACGTTTATACGAGGCAAGCTACTCAAGATACTCATATAGAAACAAACGCTGATCATTTCTAATCCTGAATATTAACAAATGGATATTATAAGTCCTTAAACAGCTAAGCCCAGATTTAACTTAAATTCGTAAAGACGAAAGGGCCAATATTACATTATTTATGGTAACTATTGCTAACGGAATTTAAATTATTAATTGAGTCTTACCTCCATCATTAATAGTATTGATCAATTATACTTTCAGGTTTGTTATCTGTAAAAATCTGTTTTTTTATTTTCATTATAGAGTTTATTAATATTATAAATCGGTTTAGGCTAGGCAACCATTGAAAACCTGGAAGCACCGAACGAGCATTTCTTCCCAGTATGGGACTAACTATCCAATGCTGCGCATAGAATGAGGAGTTAAACCCAAGACCTTCAGTCTCCCGCACGAACGCTTAACTTCCAGATCTCCGAGTCTTTATCAAATCGTGTATTAGCCAAATTTCAATTTCGTCTGCATGTTGACAACTCAGAAATCAATTCCGATCAAATGAATAGATGTGGAAGACTTTATAAACGATATCAGAACTATTAAACTTAATTCATAAACATACTTAATTAAATACATGTTTTGAACGATTATCGTATAAATTGAGAATAATACCCATGATATCAACTCCCTTCGGTCATGTTAAATTCAGCATGAACTTAATAGAAATGTCATCACGTGACAGTGAGCCAGTGTTAAACTCTATAGCTGTATTTACTGTGTTCTTTCCAAGTACTCATTCACCTTATTTACCTATTCATTCAACTGAAAAATGAAACAAACCTAGAGATACATTTATGACGTTTACATGTAACCTAGAATATCCTCTTCAATTTGACAGACACATTACATTTGCTACATCTTTCCTAATATCATGAATTATGAGCAAACTATTATTCTCAGCTAATTTAACCACATTA